CGAGTGTGTGTACGTGTGTGACGCAACGCTTATCTGCGCAACGCTATCGATCGATATTAATCCTATACGAGCAGCAACCGCCGCGCTAAGATACATAATATCGGTTGTTGTTGTTTTTTTTTCATTGATATGTCTTGTAAGACTACAGAGATCAACTGTAAAGCCCTACGTACTCGCGATCGCGTCGATCACTTTCATCGAGCTGTATACTGCCTCACGGCTGTACCTATATATGCAAGCTCGTTTTTCGCGATATTTATCTAATAGATAAAATACCCCCCGAAAGAATCACGCAGCGTGTCCTGATTTATTTTTTTTTTATTTTTATAATAATATGCACCGCCGACGTTTCGGCAGTAATAAATTAAGATACCCGACTGATTACGCGATTCTTTCTCTCTCTCTCTCTCTGTCGATATATATAGGGTATAGGTATAAGGTGTACAGTAGGAAAAAGTATCGTATTCTATGTATACGCGAGGCGATCGCTGCGGTATAGATCGTGCCGCGCTGCAGCCAAATAAGTATTTATATATATCTACATAGTACCATGCATTAAGCTTAATACATGCCATAAAACAGGGTATAGCTGCCGCTGCTGCTGTTGCTGCTGTTGTTGTTGCGACTTAATGGATTCCCTCTCGACACACTAAAAGCGTAATTAAACTTCGCCGCAACGAATCGGTCGCGCTTCCACCAGCGAGCTTAGATTTTCCAGATATTCGGCAAGCTGCAGATATTCGGTTAATTGAATATTACCAAACGGCTCTGCGGCTGGAATAGACCGATAATAATTGCGAGTTGAAATAGAGTTCTGCGCTCGTGCTGATGAGTAATTGGTCGCGAAAAACCGCATACAACTAATTTACAAATGCGCGCCGTGCATCACGAACACACCCTTTTGGACTTATGGTTGAGCGTTTCTATTACTTGCGTCTTTTCATCCTCGCTGTTAAAAAAATAAACAACAATTAAGCACGTGTGGCATCACGCTCGAATAGCCGTTCTCTCTGGGTACAGCAGCTAGATCTAATAAATTTCATTAAAACCAACATAAGCGAGGCATCGTGTCTCTTTGAACTCACTAGCATGATTTCCATGCCGCGCGATAAATTTCGCACGGTACAATGTCACTTTTATTATTGCAACGTGAGTAATACGTATTGCTCCGAGAGATATAGATCTTCTCGGCGGAATATGTAGCAAAAAATATGTACGCGATGATCGCAGCAAGTATTACGATGAAAAAATTACTCATAAAGCGAGAGATGCCATTCGTTATTCGCGCGTATTATATTGTAACTTATGTATTCGGGATTACGCGTGGAAACACGCGTATTCGTGTGCGCGCGGTATTAATAATGTAACGACTCTTTAAAGACTCGACGAGCAAATCGTGCCTGACACGATACGTTGCTCGCCGCTGGTTGAATGTTGAGTCTAAACACTCGTGCATTCGCATTTATAATGTTTATTATTTATTATAAATCACCTGCAAGTCTATGATGCTCGATTTAGATATCATCGTTGAATCGCGGATGAGTAGCAGCGATCAATCTTTTCTAACGTGTAGCTACATGAACGAGTGTACGTACGATTGCATGCAAGCATGCATTGAAGATATGTTTGTACGTAATATATAATCGTTAAAAAAAAATCATGAAAATTCAATAATAATAATACCAGCATCTGACACTAGATGGCCAATACCTATTTCTATGAATCTGCAAGTGGCAAAGGAAAAATAAGTGTTTATAAGTTATTATATAGTGTTTATAAGTCATTCTTTCAGGTCATTTAAGACCGATTTATCTCGGTTTTTATTGATCATTATTGCAAATTAATATGGATTAAAAGAGTAAATTTAAAAAATGTTTACATCCAATTTTATTTAACGTGACGTGATTTATGAAAAAATCCTAAAAACTTAAATTCAAACGATATTTAATTGAAATCCTTTAAATGAATTTGAATTCATCCACGTAGAGGAAGAACACACTCTTTACTTACAAATCGAGGATATTAATACGCGATGAAATTTTCCCCGAATCGCCGCGTCTCGAAGATTGCATCGAATCGCAGGATGCACAAATACTCGGACACACACACTTTACACACATTAGAACACACACGCGAAATAAAACTATATGTGTATGATATTTATGCGTACGCGCGAGCACCAGGAGAGGATTGCGTGATTTAAAGGCTTCGTTTATGCAGTACTCATATACAGGCGCTCGCGCGGTATCAGAAAGTTATAAAGGACACACGAGCAGCTGGCCCTAAGTAAACAGTCGGCAATTAAGCCTCTTATAACGAGCTGGGCCTATACAGCAATGGGCTGCACTTTCAGCCCGCGGGTCCTGCGCAGATCCCGCGCACGACACGCAGCCACGAGTGGCCTTTGGCCAACGATTCGCGCATACAACCCGTCAATTATCCTATATACGCGTATAAGTGTATAGCTGCATACGTATGATTGTGGGGACTCTCGCGACGACGTACGGGAAGCAGCACTTGCCACTCGTCCGTTTCTGCGCCTAATAACTCTATACTGCAGCGCGTCGCCCGTCCTTGATGAAACGTTTACTCGCGTCGTCGTATATAGTATTTGGCTCGCTACTACGATCCGCGCGAGAGTCGATTCCTCCTTGTTATACGTACTTTATAATATCGTTACACATTTATTTACGTACGTACATACAGGTTGTAATTTACGAATCGCGCATATTATCGCGCGAGGAATACTGGTAGTAGCGCCCGGTGGTGTATAATAATATAAAATAATCGGCGCGCGCGCGCGCGAGGAAGTGAGAGTGACGAAAGCTGCAATCTAACTATTACTACCCATTACCAATACTACTACCACTATACTCGAGCCATTTCCCACGGGTTTTCGTTGCGCATTCCATCGTGCCAGTCTCTCTCTCTCTCTCAAGCTCGCGCAAGATATTACGATGATGACAAATTAGTTACGATTGGGTTTCGTACTTTGTGTGTCTATTTTCACCCGATAGCTTTCACTGCGCCGGGCAAATAACGTCGTCTCTCCTTTCGTCTTGTTTCTATATTTCTCCTCTCCTTTTCTGCATTGGGCATCCAAGCGCCACAGCACACCGACAGCCAGTAGTAGCTGCAATGCTACACGGCAAATAACGTATACATAAATAACGTAAAATCCGCATATTTCGCAAATACCGATCGTGGCAATGTGTTTCTTTGCACCTTCGCTCGGCTCGCGAACTAATGGCTATTGTGTTCCAAGCCGTATCCATATGTATAATTTGACTGCAGTAGAAGTAGTAGTAGTAGTAGTAGTGCTTACTCGTCCGCCCGCCACGGCGCAGTTTTTCACACCTGCAATTATAGTCGAACTAATAGTCGCGAGAGAGAGAGGAATAATCTGCCCGCGAGCGCGAATACCTTTAAAACGCCTCGCGCTGCTGTTAGGTGGTTTTTAGCCAGGCGCATATGCATACGATGTTTGCGCGCGCCCCGCATAGACCCGTTAAACTATACATACACCTCGACGGATCCCGCGCGACGTGCAGCAGGCGCGCTATTGTCTATATGCGCTATCTGCTCCTGCTAGCGTTCATACATATATACAAAACACCGATAGCAATTACGACTAGTTTATTTGGATACGTTATTTACGCAAGGCTTCGGCATTCACTTTTTGTGCATATGCTTATAACGTGTGCGAGCGCCGTTTATGGCTGCGTACACGCGCGCGCGCGTTAAATTATTTATAAATATAGCAGGTATACTATAATGTATGCATTCGCACGAGGGTGTATATTACTCGAGTTAGAGAGCGGAATTTTCACACTCCGCAGCAAAACGCGTTGGAATTTTACCCAATTTTCATTTTGCCTTTTCTCTATACGAGCTGCCGGGATAGATCTCGTATCGGCTAATTTGTGTCTACACGCTCGAGTGTATATAGATACGGCGATAAAAAAAAATCGTGTAGCCGGGGAAAATATTTCCGACCCTCGAGTTTTACCAATGTACGCGTGTATATAAGTATACGCGCACGCCGAATTCTTTCGGTGTATCGCGAGGGAGCTACATCGCGATAAGAGCTCGCCATGCTTATATGCATACCTGAGCGCACCGCAGCTACATAATAACAATATACATGCATATACGTGCAAAAACTCATAATCGATTAGAGTTCGAGCGAAGTAAGGTACATACGCGTGACATTCGACGAGAATACTTTTGCGCACACCTCCCGCGTTGAAACCCAAGTAAGCTGCTGCTGCTGCTGCAGTTGTGCCGCGACACACGATCGGCTGCCAAATTTTCGTCGCTGTGAGCTGTGTACGGCTCCACACGCCTTACCTATATAGATGTGTAGCATGCTATATATTGTATATATAAAGTCTCGCGTGCAGCAGCTATAAAAAGAATATATATAAAACGTCGTATAAAATATGCAACGCGCACGAGTGAGAGAGCGAGAGAGGACTTGCGCAAGAGACTTTGATTTCTCGTTAAGATATACGCCCGCGCGCGAGCTATACAACGCTACACAACAGTCGAACGCGCTGTTATAAGCGCGCGCTATCACGTCGGTGCAGCAGCCGCCGAGGGCTCGCGTGAAATTTTTATGACAATGATCGCTTCTATATCGGCGCTGTATATGTACAGCGGTATACTGCGCTTGCAACGTTTTTACAGACTCCCGCGTGTGTACCGTGCGATAATACACACGTTATTTTATGCGCGACAATCGGATCGACATTTTCAGCTGCGGTGGCGATCACGGTAGATGTTCAGGATAATTTTCGTCGGCATTTTCATGATATAAAAGTGCGGTTGCGTCAACTCTCCACTTGCACATTATGCTATTGGGCCCGTAAATTTTTTTTATTGCTCTCCGGAAACTATGACCGAATCGATTTTGGACACCGAGTGAAGTTACTCACAGTAATTGAAAATTATACACAGTTAGCGCTTTTATTCGAGCTAAAAAATGTATTTTCTTTGGTTGGCTTAAAAACTATTTTTTACAATCGGTCGATCTATTCTTTCAAAAATTGGCATTTTTTGACATGGCGACTTTGATGAACTGAAGATTCATGTACACGTTGACGTACACGTCGAGATTGCCGTTCAGACAGTTGTCGCTCCCCGTGGCGATGCCTATCAATCGATTGCTCTGCACCAGAGGATTGCCCGCGTTTCTCTGCAAATATCGGAGATCGAATCATCGATAAAGAAACTAATTCTATCTCTAAACATCGAAACAAAAAACCATAATGAACGTGTTACCAAGCAGTCGTCGAGGGCCGAGCGCGTGTGTCCGCAGATCTTGTCGTAGTTCTCGGCCGTGTACGCCCCGTGTCTCTTCCTCTTGGTCTGTTGTTTGTGTTGCTGTTGCTTTTGGCGCAGCTTGCGCTGGCAGTCGGAGCGCGACAGCAGCAGCACCTCGACGCCACGCTCGCTGTCCACGGGCGAGGACCAGACGCTGACGCGGGCCGCGGGATTGACGCGCTCGCGCGCGTCCTCGGCCGGCAACTCGATCGGCTGCTCCAACGGGGAATACGATATTTCCTGCTCGAGCTGTTTACAGTCGGAGAGAGAAACGGTACATATATTTTGTTGTATTAATTTTATGTAATAAAATGAACGTAAGGAGAGAAAAAAAAAGACAGCCTCCGCGTATGCATCGGACAGTATGTATAAGGTGTGGTATAAGCTCGTGATGTCACATACGCGTTATTCAGTCCCCGAGCCGCTTACGCAATTTTCATCATATTATGTATTATAATGCACACGACGGATACATAATACGGTGCGAGAGAGAGAGAGAGAGAGAGAGAGAGAGAGAGAGAAAAGCTTTAAATACCGCGTCGCGTACCGCATTATATACTCACGGTAACGAGCGCAATGTCGCTAATCCAGACGTCCGTCAGCTCGTACATGACGTCCTTGTACGTCGTGACGTTGCCGATGCCGTGCGGATTACCGGACGACGACAGATCGCCGTTGAAGCCGCTCACCACGGACATGTACTTGTAGGCCTGGGCGGGCAGTCGGACGCCGTCGCCGCCGCTGCCACCCGGTGACGAGGACGATGTCGTCGACACCCGATTATGGAAGCAGTGGGCAGCGCTGAGAACGTAGCGCGGAGCGATTATGACACCCCCGCAGATGTGGCGGCCGGCGAATCGTATCGACACCTCGTGCGAGTGCGGCAGCCTCGATCTCGCGTCCTTGACGATATCGGTAATTGGCGTCGGCGATTTTCGTCTGGAACCGTTGTGGCCGTTGTTACCGCTGACTCTTCCCGCTGTACACGAAACGATAAACATTGAGACGCAAAAAATAAGTTATAATGATTTTCTTCAAAATGCGTTTGTAGGATATTGCGATCGAGAGATCGTAATTATCTTACCATTACTGATGTGGCTCGTAGCGGTTATTAGGCAAATTATCAATATTGTGATTATAGCTCGCATTGTCGATCGTTATTAGATTTCGCTTCAAACGTATACACCTATGTATAAACACCTGAGTTTACCGAACGTACAAACACAACTTCTCACTAGCAGCACCCAAGTCGAACTGAGTATTTACTACTGAGTCCCCAAGGAGCAGACGAATATAGGCCATCGGGTTGAAACGTCTTTTTTCTTTTTCTTTTTTTTGATGGCATCAGCAGCACCAGTAGCAGTAGCAGTAGCAGTAGCAGTAGCAGCAACAGCAGCTGAAATAATGACAGATTACTGACGGCTGCGTATTTAGTCTATTTATTATACGACAGTGTGTGTATATGCCTTTATAATGTATTTACGTATACACGTTAGATATGGGTGGACGTGTGCATAATACCGAGCTTAACTGGTCTGTATATATGGAATTATAAGTTCAGGTTCGTAGCTCATTTGTGTGTAGAGAGAAAGTATTGTAAACTTCGAAATGATGATGCACACAACGAGAAAGAGACGTGTGTACATGTGTGTGTGTGTGTGTGTGTGTGTGTGTGTGTGTGTGTGTGTGCGAGTGTCAGCGGAGACGTGTCGCGCACGACGACGGGGATTAACGTAACAAAGCTCCTATATGAGACATGGCACGAATTATTATTCGAAAGAATGGAGACGGTGTGTGAAGGTTTTGGAGATGCTGCTGCTGGATGAATGTATCTAAGTGACAGTTCGAGCGCTCCTCTTTCTTTGCGAGCATATACGTTTAATGAACACAAACAGCGAGTTATGCAAACCTTTCTATATACAGCCAATGCATACCGTTGAGTCCAAAAATTAATTCCATTTTCTCCGATCGATTAAACGTTGTTTTTCTAATGTAATATATCATATAAAGTGACGCAGCCTTCCAAATATAAAGGAAGAAAAAAAAATATAGTTTAGCGCATTGTAATCTCAGCAAAAGCACATGTGGCAAGCGAGTGCTAATACAACTATATTATATACGCGTATGCTCGCTTCGTCGACGATCGAGGCCCTCTCGCGCGCGTCCGAGATTAACGCGCTCGGCATAACTCGCGATAGGTGTATAGGCACACAACAGACACATACACATGCATATACAAACAATATGTTTCGCAATTGACGTAGCAGCAGCAGCAGCAGCTTGGGCTCGTAATATATTTTCGAACAATTCAAGGCTGCGTAAAGCGCGAACAATCATCGTCGTCGTATAATGTAAGAACGAAACAATTGCGAAAAAGCATTTAATCATTCGGCACAAGTATGCGAGAACGAAAGAGGCCCCTTCGTCCGTCCGTACGTCCGCGCGCGCGCGTGCCATAAGACAAACACAATCGTCATCCGTGCACTCGCGCATAGCCAAATATAATAAATGTGATCCAGCACGTGCGTGTGAAGGATAATTTTTTTTTTGGCGAGCGAGGTCAACGGTCTCCGAACGAATAAACATATCACGCATCCTCTCGAGAGAGCAGCAGATATTGTTTTAAAAAAATTTGTTTCTTTTTCTGATCCAATGATCGATCATCATAGGCAAATACATATAGTGAGAGTATGAGCCAGCTATTGTGCGCGATTATACGAGCGCGCGCAGCGATCGAAACGAAAGAGAAAAGATTCCGGCAAGGTGCTGCTGCTGCATTATACGCGAGTGTACACCGTGTGGCAAGTAGCGCCGAAGCTCGAGAGGCTGTAAATCAACTTTTACAATTGCGCAAGTTCATTAGTACGACAAATAAAGCAAAAGACTCGCGCGCGATAGCTCGATAAAGATGCGCTCGACATACGACGAGAGAGAAAGACGACGACGAGGAGGAGAACTTGGCGAAGAGCCGAGTAATTTGGCCGCGCATAATCAGCGCACGCGCCCGCAGTCATCGTGTCGTGTATAGTCCCCGTAGAGAAAGAGAGTGAGCTGGTACATATTCTCTCTCCACGCCATGATGCGGTCGTAATTATGCTCTGCGCGCGTTCACTCTCGGCCGCTATTACGCGCCTATATGCGGCGATCACTGCGCCGATACTCTTATACCCGCGCATGTATTGTTGTTGTTGTTGTTGTTGTTTCTGTCGCTGTTGACGTTGTTGCTCGCGACGAGAGAGCGAGACGAAAAGAAATATAAAAGTTAAGTAGAGTCGAGACGGAAATCGAACCATATAGGAGTCCGTATAACAAATTATTCGTATCCAAAGAGGAAGTAAATGCTCGCTCGTACATACAGGCACGGTGACAATCAATTATCCTTCACTTTCAGTCTAAGTACGAATGTATTTATGCGAGAGTTGTGTGTATATACGTTATTATGTGTACCTGTATGCCTCGTACATATATATACAGGAGGCAAAAGGCGCGCAAGCTTTGCACTCGCTCACATACACACACACACACACACACACACACACACACACACACACACACACACGAGCTGGCTGCTGCTTAGCCGCACAGGAATCGTGATACGCTCTAGGCGGTGGCGGCAACGGCATTTTTTTGCGCTCGCTCTTTCTCTTGCACATACGCTGTATAGACACACGTATACACAGCCAGAAGAATGAGAGACGTGCCAGGCGGCAGACAGACAGTAAGAAAGAGAGAGAGAGAGTCAATTCGAAAGCAAAAGTGGATTCGGATATAATACCTTGCATGGCGTATACGATGGCGAGCGCAAGTGCTGTGTGTGTGTGTGACTGCAGATCCAAGTTATGCACACACGGTGTGCAGACGTTAAATCTGCGGTTCTGCTTTACCGGGTGGCAGCGCAGGGCGCACCGTAAACAGCGTATAGCGTATGATATGCATATATAAAAAAATACCATATAAAAATGATTGCGGAGGCAAGCTCTCATTCGTTGTGTTTTGACTTATACGATTATTTTGACTTGGCTACTTGCAGATTTACACAAAATAAGGTACTCGCCATCTAGTGGTGAAGACCCGAAGTAGTATGCTAATGTAAAGTATTATGATAGTGTAGGCGCCCATCCTAACTTGGGCAGATTTATTATTGGGAGTCACTTTTACCCAGGACATATGTACTGATACAACTTATACAATTATTATTACACTTGTACAATTATTTGGACTTTGACACTTGCAGATTTAGCCAAAAAGGTACTCGCCATCTAGTGGTGAATTCTGGTTTTAGTCGCGATCGAATTTTCATGAATTTTTCGAGCGATATCGATCGGAATGGTTTTGCAGAATTTTTTCACATACATTCCAATAAAAAAGCTATGCATCCATCGCAAACGATATCCAATCCCGTTCGTTCGCGCTCTACGAGACACCGAAATATCGGGCTCTGACATTTTGAAAGTTCACGATACGATTAGTCGCGGTCGAGTGCTCTCGGGCCTCTCGAGAGAAAGAGAGATTTCTCTTCTGGTTCCTATATCGTTAAAACGCATATACAATAGTCATAGCGTGGAATACGTCTCCTATATTATTCACACACACGCATAGGCTCGAGCGAGATCGGGGGATCAATTGCACCTGACCCACGCGCGAAAGAGCCGCGCGCCAGAGAGGAAGCCATCAACTCGCGCGGATATACGAGAAAGAGAGAGAGGCGCCTCTGAGCTATATAGCTATAATGATAATATATCGTGTAACACGTGCTTGCGCGATACGTGTATATGTATCGAGGCAAGTAGTCGAGAGCAGCACACACACACACAGACAATGGGGGATCAAGGAGCTGTAGCTGGTTAACGCTCAGGCGTCGTGGGTGAAAGTGCGGAAAAGGTTCGCGGCGGGCGCCACACGTACATACATACATATACATACTCGAACGCGCGAGCCTCGCGATTCATCCCATCGCGGAGCTGCATATATATAATATAAAACACGTATTATATAGTCGTGAAGAAGCTATATATATACACACGAGTATCGGTATCGCCTGCGCATGCATGCATATATGTAAGCACGCGGCGGCGCATCGAGAAAGAATAATTAATTTTCACGAGCGAGAGATGAGACCAAGACGAAGAAGAAAGAAGAAAGCAGCCTCGCCGCGAGCTGCAAGCAGCACGTTATTATACATTATGCATATGCAACGATAGAGATATATATAATGGGTATATATATAAAATGTATTTATCAATCTCGAGCTCGGCCGCGGCGGCGTCACGTCTCTCTCTCTGACTGTATATACAGCGATTCTTTCTCTTCTCGTAACTCTTTGGGTTCCAATATAGATGCGCATAACGAAAAATTCACTCGAGCACAGAGCTAGATAGATATATAGAGACTCGGAGATGCTTCCTCGTCGAGGCATTAGAATTTCCACGCGCGCAGAGATGCACGTGTGAAATTTTCCCGTGGCGCCTCTGCGATACTACAGTATATATATGCAGTACAGTCGGTGTGCATTATATATATGCACGTCTATATATACATAAGTGTAAGTACTCGTGCCAAGGATGCACTTTCTATATCGGAGTAGATATCCCTACGGCAGCTTTCTTCATTGTGCGTCTCTTATACTGCTATACAAGCCGTTTGTTCGCATATATAAGAAACTTCCGCAAAGCTCATTTCGCGCTGCAACAACAACAACAACGACGACGACGACTACGACGACTAACACAAAGGATTATTACGCGAAATATGCTAATCTATCCATAGGTATAATAGCGACGCGCGCGATGGTGTGCACCATAAGGCTGCCTATCATCTTTCTCTCGGTCACGCATGACGAGTGCACGATTCGCGGAGAGCTATTATAGGGCGAGGTCATAATCGGCTATTTTACGAGATGCTTTCGCTGATGCAGCATTATATATTACGCTAAGCTATACGGGCGCTAGCTCTTCAGCGAGAGGCGCTTTACGACTATATAGGCGTATTAAACCAACTGCGAGTCTGTCTGTCTCTTTTTGCGCGGATCGCGATGTGCTTTCTTCCTCTTGTATTCTCGCGCTTGAACATCGTGTACATACATTTATGTAACTTCCGTAAAATATATAAAAATAAATATACGGAGGAGATCTGCGGAGATCGGCCTTTTCTTTCGTCGAATTTTTACTTTCCAATCGTTGCAATATCCGAGACGACGACGAATGCGTACTTCGTAATTATTCGCCAATTATTGTAT